TGAAGTTACTGCAGTGTGGGAACAAGGGCTCTTCTAACCTTTCCTTTTTCTTCTTCCTTCCATCCTGCAGAGCCAGCTGTCGCAGGCGCTGAATGGCCTCTCAGACAGAGCAAAAGAAGCCAAAGAATTCCTGGTGCAGCTACGAAACATGGTGCAGCAAATCCAGGTATTGCTTTAAATATGCCACCTGGAAAGCAGAACTAGAAGGGAGAGCAGGGCCAGTGGGTGACATTTGGGTGTGTGGTGTGGATAATCAAAACTGGACCCACGGCCACTGATGATTCTCAGTCTCACGTTCCAGTCAGTCTGGTTTTCCCTGCCCTTCCTATTTATGTCTTGGCAACCCTAGGAGGGACTGGGGGGTCCCCACCAGCTGTCAGCAATAGTTCAAATGTTAGGGAAATTAGCTTTTCAAGAGGTTTGGATAACGTTTGGACCATGTGCAGCAGTGTATACCAGTACTAACTGAGTGGATTCCTGGTTTTGGGTGAATTAAGAAGATTTTATGTAGAAAAATGCAGAGTGCAATCACGCACACAAGACAGCAATGCAAACAGACACATCATACAGAGCTAAACTAAATGGAAATGTAGAAAGGGAATAGCAGAATTTTTAGGGGTTTGCAGTGAGGTTATAATTACCTGTCCAATGAGAAGACTGGAAGTTTGAGGGTGACACAGAACATACACAGAGTGTGAGTGTACATGCCAGCTGTATGCACAGCGGTTAAGTTTTGAAACTATATTTTATACCTTAAAACTAGCCCTAGGCAATGGACTATCTGGTCAAGTAACAAAGGCTCAATGACTTGTCCTAGGAATTGGCAATGGAATTCCAGACTAGTTGATGGCTTTAATTTGAGTGTAACAAAAACATTGATTGGATCAGGATATTCCTGAGATGGATGGACGAGGAGAGGGAGTTTGGCTGGAAACACAACAGAGGGTAGGCAGAGAGAGACTGGCCTACTGCTTTGGATGCGAAGAGATCTTTTGTCTTAAGTTTCTAGAGGAAATGCAGATTACTTGCAGGAAGGAAGGTGCACTTTAGAGTTGATGGCTTTGTTTACCTGGATGCACACATGCCTTAGGGAAAACAATCTTTTTTTCTTGTGAACCTGACCTAGTGTTCCTGAAAGATCATCGATCTCTCAAAAACATGCTATCTCCAGATATGAGATATCCAAATATGAGGATTCCAGAATACAGCACAGGGTATGCAGGGGTGCTTCACAAGGGAATGGCTTGATTTTGAAGCTGCCACTTCCTCACGGACAGGAATTCTGTGCAATGCCTGCCCGGAGTGCCACTGCTTCTGCCGAGGACAGAAAGAGTGGACTCCATATGTCCAGGCACCCATTTCTGTCCTCAGCAGAACTGATGGCATGCCAAGCAGGTTTTAGCTGGAACTCCTGCCTGCCAGGAAGTGGTTGCAGTGGCTTCAAAACCAGGGCCAGTGGGGCTGATGCTGACCCATGTCCACAATGATTTAGGGGGGATGCAGACAGGCGGCCCTGGGCTGCCCCTGGAAGTGGAGGACAATGCAGGATGAGCAGGTGCCAAGATTACATCCACTAGACCTTCATCAACTACAGCATCCAAGTCAGAGCGAATCCGAGCGATTTTGTCTGCAAAGTGTCTTGCAAATTCTTCACAGCAAGCTGTTGAATGATCTTTGTTTTCTTCTTGGGGGCCAGAATGTAAAAGGCCCCTGATCACTCGGAACAGTTCTGCTGGACAACACTGTGCAGATGCAATAGTGGCAGAGAAATACAATTTCTTCGCTGCCTCCATAGCCTCGGCATAGGGCTTCCAACGGGCCCTAGCCCATGTTCGGTCAGACGGACTCCAGGTCTTCGGCTGTCATCGCTCTAGTCTCCATCCCACTCATTTCATCACCGCCAGCTCCCTAGTGAACCAGGGGGCATGTTTAGCTCTACTTCGTGGGAGGGGACACACAGGAGCAATTGTGTCCGCTGCCCTGGCCATTCCCCTATTCCAGAGATCAGCCAGGGCTTCAACAGGATCACCTGCCAAGGCAAGAGGAAACTCCCCAAGAGCCAACAGGAATCCATCCAGATCCATAAGCCTCCTGGGGTGGACCATCTTAATCAGGCCCCCACTCCTGCAGAGGCTCTGAGTCCCAGTGAGCCTAAACCAAGGGTCGGCAACCTATGGCCCACGGGCTGGACACGGCCCACCGATGCCTTGGAACTGGCCTGTGGCCGGTCCTGTCGCCGTGGCCGCGCCATGCATGCCGTGAGGCGCCACTTTGCTTTCTAAAATGGTGCCTGCGCTCACGCACCCATGCACATAACAGCGGGCACCATTTTGGAACACCAAATGGCGCCGTCGCCATTTGGCCTTCCAAAACGGTGCCCGCCGCCATGCACATGCGTGCATGAGCGCGGGGCACCATCCAAAATTTCACCCCGCACTCGCGTACGCATGCGCACCCTGGCGGTGGTAGTGCACGTGCATGCGCGCGCACATGCGGGCACCACCACAGCCTGGGGGCATCAGGGGACAGGGGGACCGGCCCCACCCCCCAAAAGGTTGCCGACCCCTGGTTTAAACCCTACCAGGTAGTGATCATTCCATGACAATGGAGCTACAGAGAGTTCCTCCACTCTCAGATCACTGTCATCCTGCCCTGAACAGAAACCAGGTCCAGAGTGTGTCTTGCAGCATGGTGTGGGGTGGCCCCAGATATTACTTGGGACAGAGTCACGATGGAGGACCTACAAATGCCTAGAGAAGTGTTTTCTATTTAAAAATAACCTGGATAAGCCTGCTGGAAGGGACTAGTCTTTAAAGGTCTTTTAAATTCAGACAGTGTAATCAGCTGTTGACTCTCTTCTGGCAGTATGTAGAGAGATCTTGTAGGACCTTTGATAGTAACTGAAAGAAAGAAGTTGGCAGCATGAGCTTTCCGAGACTTTAGTCTACTTCCTCAGATGCGTCTGAAGAAGTAGATTAAAGTCTAGGAAAGCTCATGCTGCCAACTGCTTTCTTTCAGTTAGTCTCAAAGGTGCTACACGATCTCTCTACATACAGTTGCCAACCTAGTCCTGGCGAACTGGAGTATGCTCCTGTTAGTATGTTCCCCGGATTAAGCAGAAAAATGTAGTGCTCTCACCCTGAGATTCTTCCCTTTCTGGGGACCAGAGAAGAAGGCCCTGAGATCCGGGGATGCTAGGAATTGGATACTCTCTTGTGCAAATCCCACACATGAATAATGACTGTTCTGATAACACCTGGCTAAACATGCTTGCTGAGTTAATGCTTAGCAACCCCTGAAGCAAAAACCAAAGGGATTTGAGGCTGGATTGATTAAAAATGTGGCTTCCCCACGGATGGCTGGCTTCCCTCTTCCGTCCTGCTGGTTTTCTCCGCCGCCTGCCCTCCGTCCCTCAGTTCCACTCTCCTCCTGTCTCCATGTGAGATGGAGCGTAAACCGTCAAGGCATCCATCATACGCCATCCCTTCCTCTTTCCTCACCCCTGCCATCCCATGCCACCTCTCCTCCGCATGTGGCATCTTTATGCCATTTCGTAGAAATGTGTTTTTTTGCCCAGAGGCTGCCTCACCCCACTTTGTGGGCATTTAACAAAGGAAGCCCTCTCGGGACACAGGGATTGCAGGGAGGGCGAGCGGAAACAATTGCACATCAATATTTTAGAGAGGAAAATATAAAATCATGGCTTATCACGCATGCTCTAGCAGGAGAGAGTGGGGCTGGTGGTGTTTGTGGTTGCATCATCAGCATCATCAGCATCAGCATCATCACAACTACTACTACTATATCATCAATCATAGTCATTATCATCATCATCATCACTACTACTACTACTACTATCATCAATCATAGTCATTATCATCATCATCATCACTACTACTACTATATCATCAATCATAATCATTATCATCATCATCATCATCATCATCACAACTACTACTACTACTACTACTATATCATCAATCATAGTTATTATCATCATCATCATCATCATAACTACTACTACTACTATATCATCAATCATAGTCATTATCATCATCATCATCATCACAACTACTACTACTATAGCATCTATCATAGTCATTATATCATCATCATCATCGTCATCATTATCACAACAACAATTATATTATCAATCATCATCATCATCATCACAACAACTACTACTACTACTACTATAGCATCAATCATAGTCATTATATCATCATCATCATCATCATCATCATTATCACAACAACAATTATATCATCAATCATCATCATCATCATCATCATCATCATCTTTATACGTACCCCTCCTTTCCCCAAAAAAATCAGGACTGGAGGTAGTTTACACATTAAAACAAATACAACATAGTGTTAAAAATACAGAAGATCAGCATTAAAGTAGAATTAAACTATTACTGACATGTTGTCGTTGCTATGTGCTGTCATGACTAAAATGCTTAAAATCCTGTTTATATGACACATATGATGATCCCCGTCATAAAGTTTTCTTGGCAGGATTTCTTTCAAGGAGCTTTGCCATTCCCTTCCACTGAGGCTGAGAGAGTGTGACTTGCCCAAGGTCACCCAGTGAGTTTTCAGGGCTGAACAGGGATTCAAACCCAGGTCTCCCAGGGTTTTTGTCCAGCACTTAGGCCACAGAACCATGCTGCCCCCTCATAGGGCTTTCTTGGCAGGATTTCTTTCAAGGAGGTCTGTACCCATATCTTTAAAAGGAATTTATTTTTAATGGTGTCAAACTGCTCAGGAGTTTTCTTATTGACAGCACAGACACAGTTTGGCCAATTGGGGGCTAAAAAGACCGTTTCCACTTAAAACTGGGCTCTCCAATTTCTGTAGTCTCTGTGGAGGATGGACGGTGACTGCATGGACATCCCTCCATACTATCTGAACTGAGAACAACAACATCTTGACAATACAGGCCCATGACTAAGATCGTCATATATTGTTTTTCTCCTGTATGATTTTGAATGGAAAGCCAGCGTGGCGTAGTGGTTTGGGTGTAGGACTACGGCTCTGCAGACCAGGGTTCGAATCCTGGCTCAGCCATGTAGACCCATTGGGTGACCTTGGGTAAGTCACACACTCTCAGCCTCAGGATGGCCATGGCAAGACCCCTCTGAAGAAACTGAAGAAAACTCCATTATAGGTTTCCCTTAGGGTTACTATAAGTCAGAAATGACTTGAAGGCACACAACAACAACAAATGACTTTGAAGACCTGTGCCTGATGAAGAAGCCAGTGGAGCTTCGAAAGCTTGCAATATGTATTTTGTGCATTTTGGTTGATCCGATAAAGGTATCACTTTTGTGGATTTTGGATGTTATTGTACTTTGCAGATGGTCAGAAGAATGGCTGAGGTTGCCTTGTTGCTCTGTGGCTGACAGGTGTTCCTTCTTTTTTAATCTATAGGAGAACAGTGTCGAGTTCGAAGCCTGCCTAGTTGCCCAGTGTGATGCATTGATTGATGCTCTCAACAGGAGGAAAGCCCAGCTGTTATCCCGGGTCAACAAGGAACATGAGCACAAGCTGAAGGTTAGTGTGAGATCCCCTATGTTGTCCGTGGTGAAATGCACATGACTTTTCTTTGCTCAAAAAACAGGTTTTCTGCTCAGAAAACCTATGTAGAAAAAGTTTGTGTGCACAAAAGAAAAGAAAAAAAGCCCCACATATGCTTCCCCCCCCTTTCTGAAGCACATCAGGATATTTGAATATGGAATATACTGTGGGGAAATAATTGGTTTTCTGCTGCACATGAAAGAAAGCTAAAGTACTTATTCATCCTTGCATGTGAGGATGAAATAAGGATTTACAGTTTGCCTGTGGTATCTGCTGGGGTTTGGTTCCAGGAACCCTTGTGGATACCAAAATCTGTGGATGATCAAGTCTCATTGACATAGTGAAATGGTGTCCCCTATCTCAAGTAGTGAACTCAAGCATCTCTTTTTGGAATTTATATATATATATATATTGAATATTTTCAAGCCGTGGATGGTTGAATCCGTGGATGAAAAATCCATGGATATGGAGGGTCTACTGTACATCCCTAGCTCTGGACCACTAGCATTCTGGAGTTGCCCTTCATTCTGGTACTTTAACAAAGCAAGGCCAACATTTTCAAGCCATAGCTTGCACTCAGCTCCATCCAAGAAGGTTTTAGTGGTCTATGCCACCTTCATTAATTTTGGTTTTGCCAAAAAACATCTCCCCAACCCCTGAAGGCAAGGATCCCGGGGCTGTTTTTCAGGTGGAGGGACTCACCATTGACAGGTAGAGCAATGCTTATATGCAGGTCATTGCAAAGGGAGGGCAATTTACTTTCCCCAACCATTTAAATGCCCTCAGTGGTCAGATTTTGTATTTAGGAGGCTCCAGACCTCCTCAGCAAAATCTTACGGGGTGTGTATGAATAAGCTAAAAAGGCCAATGCAATTTTAGGCTGTATCAATAGAGGTATAGTGTCTAGATCAAGGGAAGTTTGATATACATTTACTTGTTCTGTCACTTGGGTTTACAGTGGATGTTGTTATTAATTGTTGTAATTGTCTTTGTTTTAATTGACTTTTATTATTTTGCTCATTGTTTTACTTAGATTGTACGTGGCAGGTTTTATTCTGTTTTATCCTTGATTGTTTTTTGTACAGCACTGTGTACACCGACAGCGCTCTAGAAATAAACTTTAATAATAATAACAACAACAACAACAACAATAATAATAAGGGAAGTAATAGTGCTACTGTATTCTACTGTTATGGACTCAATAATTCAAAAAGGATGTAGAGAAACTGGAGCGTGTCCAGAGGAGAGCAACTAAAATGGTGAAGGGAAGCCCTGTGAGGAGTGACTTAGGGAGCTGGGTATGTTTAGCCTGGAGAAGAGAAGTTAGGAGGTTGAAATATTTAAAAGAATGTTGTATTGAAGATGGAGCAAGCTTGTTTTGTTCAGCTCCAAAGAATAGGACCCGAAAAAATGGATGCAAACTACAGGAAAAAAGATTCCACCTAAAGATTAGGAAGAACTTCCTGACAGTAAGGGCTGTTCGACAGTGGAAGACTCTTGTCTCAGAGAGTGATAGAGCCTTACTTCTTTGGAGGGTTAGAGGCAGAAGCTGGAGAGCAGTTTAGCAGCTTCATTTATATACTACTTCATACTGCCCTATGCAGTCTCTAAGCCAGGGGTAGGCAACCTAAGGCCCGGAGGCCGGATGCGGCCCCCCGAGGCCTTTGGACCGGCCCCAGACCGGTCCTGCTGCCGCCGCCCGCCATGATGATATTGATTATTGTTGTTATTACTTGTTCTTGGGTTTTTCTTGGCAAAATCTCCACAGGAGTTTTGTCATGGCTTTTCTGGGGCTGAGAGAGTGTGCATGCATTTTTAATTTTTTTTAAATTTTTTAAAAAAACATATTTATTTATTTATTTTTGGTGCTTCGGCCCCCCAATTGTCTGAGGGACAGCAACCCGCCCCCCGGCTCAACAATCTGGGTCCTCATTTTAGCAACCTCAGAAGGATGCCAGGCTGAGTGGACCCTGGAGCCCCTGGCTGGTATTGAACTTACAACCTTGTGGTTTGTCAGTGAGTGGCTGCAGCACAGGCATTTAAC